GCCACATCCTCGACAGACAGGCGTATGCCCTCGCCCCAAACCCATCGCCAGTTACCACCGCCTGAAAGACACTCTCACAGCCAGGCACGTCTCGTCCCATTTTCGCTGCGCGACAAGAGTTTTCGCTACGCGACGAACCCAAGCCTCTGGCCACCCAGCTTCTTTTATGGCTGTCCCTGCAGCATCACCCTATCGTCCTTTCCTTGTCTCTTATTCCCGAATCGCGTGCCATCCTCACAAGATGCCTTCCCACCCAGGCTTTCTGAACAAGGAAAATCAAATCTGGCTTTCGCCACCAGTTCCTCCAGCGCATCACATGCTAGTGCTAGCATGTAGTACTGCTTTAGCATGTGAAGCAGTAGTACTGCTTCCTGCCAGTTCGTTCTCTAATTGTAATTCCCAGGGCTATTATAATGGCGGTTACAAGGCTTTTATAATATTCCAATACAAAATAGTAGCTTTAACTAGCCTTAATAGCCTTGGAGATGAAGATCTTCTTGATGCCTTTGATGAAAAGCACTTGGAGTAGTAGTGTAGGGAGACTTGTGAGAGAGCCCAAAAGGACTTAGAGAAACAATCCCATTTCCAATTGTTTTGTTGGAGTGGGAGGTTGAGAATGAGCTTGCTTAGCTCAGACCCCCTCAATACACCCCTTGGGGAACTATCCCAACCATGGTTTCCATGGTGGGATGGTTCCTAGGCTTGGAGCCTATGTGACAATTGTGTTGGGTTGGAAAACCCAACTTAGAACCATTCAATGGTTGTGTTTAGGATAGAGTAGATTGTAACACTTGTTTGGCAGTTTCTGATTGGTTGGAATTCCAACCTTCAACATTCTCTTGGTTGAGTTGGAAATGTTCCAAACCTCCAAAGTTGAGGCTGGGCAAACCCAAACCAAGTTTCATCCCAACCAACTCAACCATCTTCTCCAACTCTTCCTTTGTCGAGAGAAGTTCTCAACAATTGACTTAGAGAGAGATCGATGGTTGTTAGCTCGGTAGTTAGGGTAATACGTTACACTCCTCCCCCCCCAGGTGGCAACGTCCCCGTTGCCCTAGGGTGCTTCTGAGGACGAGTGCTTCGAGCACGGCGCACCACATTACGACCAGGGTCAACCCCGTCCACTGGTTGTGGGCCTGCTCGTAGAGCCAGGTCTTCCATATACGCTTGAACCGCTGCTTCGGTCAAGTGTTCCTCAGGCTCCCAAGAGTTGTGTTCCGGCCCATAGCCTTTCCACTGAATTAGGAACTCACGAACAGTTTTGCGGCCGCGTTGTCGATCACGGTGCGTTAGCACACGCTCGACTTCGTAAAAGAGTTCCTTCTCGAGAGCGATGGTTGGTGGCGGTAAGTACTTGCCTTCTGCAACGTACTTATTCAACAGAGACACGTGGAAGACGTTGTGAATCTGCAATGTCGCAGGCAATTTGAGCCTATATGCGACCTCACCAACACGCGCAATCACCTCGAAGGGCCCAATCCAACGAGGAAAAAGCTTTCGTGCTCCCGGAATCTTGAGACGAATGTTCTTCGTACTCAGTAATACTTTGTCGCCAACTGCAAAAACGACTTCCCGGCGTTTCATGTCGGCATAGGATTTTTGCCTCTGTTGGGCAAGCTGCAGCCAATGGCGAGCGGACTTCAATGCCGCTTGCTGATTTCCAATAAAGTCCTTTGCGGCAGGGATTTTGAGGTTCTTAATCCCATGCGTCGCGGGGGTTGTGGGGTGCCGACCACAGTTCAGGACAAAGGGTTTCTCATGGGTGCTTTCATGCACAGAATTGTTTACAGCGAATTCCACGACTGGCAACAATTCATCCCAATCGTCCTGAGTTGGGCTTATGAAAGAACGAAGCATTTGCTCAAGAGTGCGGTTGGTCCGCTCTGTCTGTCCATCCGTTTGCGGGTGGAACGCAGACGACATCTTGAGTTTCGTTCCGAGTGTCTTAATGACCTCTTGCCAGAACCGGCTTGTGAAGCGCGGGTCTCGGTCAGACACCATCACACGAGGCAAACCGTGTAAGCGGAAAACGTGTGTCACAAACAACTTTGCCGTATCTTCCGCAGACACGTCAGTCGTCGTGGGCACGAAGTGCACCATTTTGGTCAAGCGATCCACAAACACTAGTATCGCTGTATGACCATCTCGCGTCTTGGGGAGATCGGTGATAAAATCCATCGATACACTCTCCCAAGGTTCATCGGGAATCTCAAGTGGTTGAAGCAGACCACCAGGCTTCTGTGTGCTCGGCTTGTTCCGTGCACACGTGTCACAGCGAGTTACAAACTGCTGGACCTCAATGCCCAATCCCGGCCACCAGTATACATCACTGAGGGCCCACCGGGTTTTCTTGACACCCAGGTGTCCTCCATACTTAGTGGCGTGCACCTCTGCGAGAATATCATTCCGCAGGTTTCCCACATGTGGGACTACAATTTCTTTCTTGTGCCACCAGAGCTCATGCTCCCACAAGAGATTGTTTGTATTCTGTGGGTTCTGAAACCAAGGGTCAATATCATACCCTGCGCGGATGCGTTTCAGAAAACCACCAAAGGCAATCTCGCTCACTCGAGCAGCTGCGAGGATGTTGAAACAAGCAGCAAACACAGCTTCATGTTCCTTATCATCAACACCCGTTGCCGCCCCAATCGGCTGTCTGCTCAGAGGATCAGCCATGTTCGTCGAGCCCGCTCGATATCGAATATCGTAGGTGAACCCACTCAGGAGTTCAGCCCATCGAGCTTGACGGCGGGTGAGTGTGGCTTGAGTGGCAAAATAGGTGTTCGGACAGTGGTCGGTCGTGACCACAAAGTCAACACCTTCGAGATAACATCTCCATGTTCGTAGCGCATGCACAACCGCCAACAATTCTTGTTCGGAAGTTGTATAGCGCTGCTCAGCCGGTGAAAGCTTTCTACTCTCAAATGCCACGGGGCGTCCTTCTTGCAAAAGAACTGCTCCAATCCCTACTGTCGAGGCATCTGTTACCACCTCGTAGGGCTTGGACGGGTCTGGCAAAGCCAGCACTGGAGCATTGGTCAGCATGGTTTTCACCTCCTCAAATGCCTTCTGGCATTGATCGGTCCACTGCCAAGCATTACCCTTACGAGTGAGGGCAGCCAGTGGGGCGACTACGGAGGAATAATTTTCCAAGAAACGGCGAAAATAGTTCGCAAGTCCAAGAAATGATCTGACCTGTCCCACGTCCTGTGGAACGGGCCACTGTTGGACTGCCGCCACTTTCTTTGGATCAACTTTGAGGCCATCGTTGCCTACCAAGTGACCAAGGTATTCCAACTCGCGTTTGTAGAAGTGACACTTCCACAATCGAGCAAAGAATTTATGCTCTCGCAGTTTTCCTAACACCCATTTCAGGTGTTGCGTGTGTTCTTCTTCGGTCTTCGAGTACACGAGGATGTCATCCAAGTATACCAGGACGAATTGGCCGATTGTCTCCCGAAACACATCATTCATTGCTCGCTGAAATGACGCGGGAGCATTTGTCAAGCCAAAACTTAACACACGCCACTGAAAATGCCCGAACGGCGTTCTGAAAGCCGTTTTTGGAACATCTTCTTCGGTGATTCGTAGCTGATGATACCCCTGAGCTAAGTCCAGCGCACTGAACCACTGAGCTCCCTGGAACCGATCGAACAGATCCTCAATTCGTGGTAGAGGGTATCTGTTCTTCACCGTAATCTTGTTCAAGGCACGATAATCTACGCACATGCGTAATCCTCCGCCCTTCTTGTTAACGAACAAAATTGGTGCTCCGTAAGGGGATGCACTGGGTTCAATCCATCCTTTTTTGAGGTATTCCTCGATCTGTTGTTTGGCCTCTTCGTACTCAGCTGGACTGAGGCGATACAGAGGTCGAAAGGGTGGAACCTTTCCTGGTTCAACAGGGATGGTGTGACCCACTGCGCGGTCAGGCGGAAGTCCATCAGGGATGGTTTCAAACACTTCCTTGAATTCCTCTGCCAGTATTTTCATTTGAGGAGGGAAATCCTCAATTGCTGGCTCCGAGGCCTCGACATTCTCAAGCTGTACCACGAATAGTGTATCAGCCGACTTAACAGAATGCCCGAATTGGTTGGCCAACACACACAGCGCGCTGGGATGTTCAGGCGTCTGTGTTTCAGTGGGCAAAGTATCATTGACTTGCCACTGGATTGCCTTTCCGTTCTTGTTGAACGAGACAATGTTGTACTGGAAATCCAGAATAACTTCGTTGGCTCTCAACCAATCCATGCCCAGGATGAGGTCGACTCCTGACAAAAGTGGTAGGACATATACGCGAACTGTTTCGCTATAGTCCTGTACTTTCATGTCGATATGTGTCTGTCCTTTACTTGGAATGACACGATTGTCACCCAAGCGGATGGGACACGACGGTCCTACAACGAGGACGTTGCGTGTCGTAACCCAAGTTTCATCAACAAGGGAAACCGACGCGCCTGTATCGACGAGAATCCTTGCTTCGTCCCCATTCATGCGTCCAGATAACAGTAGATTCTGTTGAAATCTTGGACGGATGGGACAAGCGACAACAAGTTTAGGAGGTCGAAAGTACACCCTAAATTTGTTGTGAGCGCATCCAAACCTTTGGGATGTGGTCCACCAAACATGGTGCCCCTTGTCCCATGTTGCCAGGATATGTCATTCGTGAAATCGGCGGAACAACTCTCCTTTCACGATTCGAGTCACCAATCCCACTGATGTGAGCGGGTGCTCTTGGACACAACGGTCCACAATATCCATGATTGCTGGCAACTCGTTGAACGAGCAAGAGATGATTGAAAATTTATCTCTCAAGGATTCAATTGAGATGTTTTCAAGTGGGTATGATCGAGTTTTAAAAACAGATTTTTCATTAATAGAAGAGGCATACAAACAAGCGATTTTGCATGATGCAAGCTTCTCTAGCTTTAGCAAATCCTCATCACGAAGGACATAAGCCTCATCTACTCGATCTCGCTCACCAACTAGGTACCCACCCCCTAGTTGGACTTCGGAAAATCCTTCGGGCCCGAAGGGCCAGAACCATCCGGCTTCTTGCCCTGGTTGGGCTTGCCGGAGTTCTTGACGGACTTCCTCCAACGGCAGTGATAGGACTTGTGCCCGAGCTTGCCACAGATGCGGCAGCCTGCCGGGGACTTATCCTCATCCTGAGGATCCTTGGCAGGCCCAGCATGGGCCCTCTTGGACTGAGTCCCAGAGGATTCCCCCTTCTGCTGATAGGGCCTCTTCCAAGAGCCACTGCCCCTGTGTGCCTGAGTCCTGTTACCACCCCCCCTAGGGCCTTCGGCACTAGGCTGCTGCTGAGCACGAGCGTGAGTCATGTACGCACGGAAATTCACATCCGTGTCAATGACCTGCTCCTTGCACTCCTTGTAGGTCCTCCACTGGTGCTCCCCGCGCACAACATGCACACGCTTGATGTGCTCAGGGAGACCCTTGAAGAACTGGTGGATGACCTCGCTCTCAGGAAGAGCAGTCTTCAGCAGCGACAGAGTTTTCTCAAACTCCTTGGCGTACTCGCGTACAGGCTGGTCACCGCACTGGATGTTCTCCAGGCGGCTACGCACCTCGACCGCCGGGGGCTGACTCAGGAATGCCGCCAGCATGGCAGCTTTGAACTCCTCCCAGCCAAAAGGATGGCCATTAGCCTCTGCGTGGCGCTTGTTGGCATACACCAACTTGCTCGCAGTGTCGTCCAGGGCAAGGGTTGCAGCGACCACACGAGCCTCGCTACGCACATTGTGGATGGACATAAAGTCCTCCGCAATGGAGAGCCAAGTCTCGACGTCGGTCTTGCCATGGACAAAACGAGGCAGGGCCGAAGGGCAGGAGCCAAAGGCAGTTGCTGCTGCAGTAGGAGGCTCAGCACGTGCTCCAGTAGGAGGAGGAACAGCAGGAGGTGCATCAGGAGGTGCAGCACGGCTGTTAGCGGCGTTGGCGACTCGCTCTGCTGCAGGAGCAGGCTGGTAGAGGTTTCCACGCCGGATCTCCCTGTACTGGGTCTGAAGCACAGAGATGCTTTTCTCCTGCTTCTTGAGCTGATCCTGCACGAACTGAAGAGTGTTGTGCATGTCCTGAATGAGGCTGGAGGTGTCGTTTTCCTTAGGGATCAACTGCACCTCCCTGGTCAGCTGCTCAATCAAGGCCTGAAGCTTAACAGAATCAGCCTCCAAGTTCTGGATACGACACTGTTGCACTCCAATGAGAATATTCTGCTCCGTGAGTTGAGTCTGGAGCTTGACAGCGATGTTCTCAGTTTCATTGGAAACACCCTCATCAGAGCCAGCCTCTTCCTCATTTTCAGCATCAGCCTCAAGGTCAGCTTCACTTCCATTGATCTCCATGTCAATCACGAAATCCTCAAGGTTGAGATCAATGTCAGCAGCAGCAGCAGCATTATCTCCCTCAGTGCCAACAATGGGCACCTCCTTAGTAGCATCCATCTCTTGACCAGCAGCCATGAAACAGGTTAAGGAGAGGAGATCTCAACAGATCTTATTATAATCTTTAAGAAATCTGATTACTCTTATAGAATAATCCAACACATAATCTCTTAAGATAGACTTGTTTGCCAAATCTCTCTATCACCTCAATGATAGAGCAAGATATACTCAAGAGAGTAATCCTCAACAAGCCCTTTATAGATCTGAAGGTACACTCTTCTACACAAAGTAGATCAAGAGTCTTCCACCAAAGGTGGGTAAGAGAAATTAATCTCTTCAAATTTCTTCTCAATGTTGATGAAGAAAAATGAGCTCCTTGTAGATCTTGAAGCTCCAATGGTGTGTTGAGGAGATTGAAGCTTGAAGCTTGGAGATCTTGTAGAAGCTTTTGTAGATCTTGAAGAACCACTTGTAGATCTTGAAATTTCTTCAAAATCTTCAAAGATCTTGATAGCTCCTTGGATGAAATCCTGGATCCACAAGCTAGGATCCTCTAAAAAAAAATAGTCCAAGTAGCAAATGGCCACACAAGGCCAAGGAAGAACCTTGCTCTGATACCAATGTAATGCCCAGGGCTATTATAATGGCGGTTACAAGGCTTTTATAATATTCCAATACAAAATAGTAGCTTTAACTAGCCTTAATAGCCTTAGAGATGAAGATCTTCTTGATGCCTTTGATGAAAAGCACTTGGAGTAGTAGTGTAGGGAGACTTGTGAGAGAGCTCAAAAGGACTTAGAGAAACAATCCCATTTCCAATTGTTTTGTTGGAGTGGGAGGTTGAGAATGAGCTTGCTTAGCTCAGACCCCCTCAATACACCCCTTGGGGAACTATCCCAACCATGGTTTCCATTGTGGGATGGTTCCTAGGCTTGGAGCCTATGTGGCAATTGTGTTGGGTTGGAAAACCCAACTTAGAACCATTCAATGATTGTGTTTAGGATAGAGTAGATTGTAACACTTGTTTGGCAGTTTCTGATTGGTTGGAATTCCAACCCTCAACATTCTCTTGGTTGAGTTGGAAATGTTCCAAACCTCCAAAGTTGAGGCTTGGCAAACCCAAACCAAGTTGCTCTGATACCAAATGTAACACCTCGCTACCCACTGGGTCAAAACGAGGGTGTTATTTGGCGCAACGGAGTGCCCTTAACACAGCCCACAGGCGTTACACTTGTCCCCCCCTGGTGCCAACGTCCCCGTTGGCCCTGGACTTCAGGAAGTCGGCCCCCTGCCGCTGGGACCTAGATTTCGCAGTGCTGCTGGCTGCGACTTCGCTGGTTGCTCAGGCCAGCGGAGGATCGTTCGCTGGGTTCGAGCTGGTTACAACCGCACTTCAGTTCTCGCCAAAGGCGGAAAGTGTGGTCTAGCCGGGATTCGAACCCTAGGCTCTGATACCAAATGTAACACCTCGCTACCCACTGGGTCAAAACGAGGGTGTTATTTGGCGCAGCGGAGTGCCCTTAACACAGCCCACAGGCGTTACACTAATCGGGTCTGTGCCTTACGTCTGCGCTAATGCCAGTACGTTCTTTTTACCAGAATGTTGTCAATACGCGTTATTTTTGTCAGTGGCCCGTTCTAATCTGACACTGTTTTGCTGTTAGACAACTCAACCGATAACCTCCTCACTAAGCTTCTCAGTTGCTGTTACCTCGTCCTGGAATCGCGGTCGCGCGACGCGCAGCAACCGATACTGCAGTAAAACTGCTCACACGTTGTTTGTCTGGCAGCGACAGGCGAACTTGTAGCGAGCATGGACGGGAGTAACAGTAACGAAGCCCATTCCTCGCTTTTGGCAAGACGTCACGCGCGAAACCTCCCGGAACTTACAGCCGCGCAAGCTCGCAGAGAAGCTGGCGGGTTTCATAATGGCGTGATTCATGGTAGCGGGTTTCATAATAACGAATTTCATGAAGGCGGGATTCTTGATGCCGAATCTCGAGACTGCGGTTCTCCGGACAACGGTTTCGAAATCCGCGCATTCAACGGCGAGCATCACGGACGTGATTATAGCGCAAGCGCCAGCGAGGGTGTGACAGTAATGAAGGACCATGTTGATCCCAGGTTCGGCGCTTTCGACGTTGATTGGTTAAGCCAGCCTCAGCACGCGCCAGCGAAGCGGCTGGAGCGGCGCACGTCTCTGTCCCCCCTGGCGCAACTTCAGGAGTTTTATCAGGTGCAGTCGGCGCAGGAACAGAGACCGCGGCAGGGGACGGGGGAGCAAATGTGGCAGGGAACGGGGGAGCGGATGCGGCAGGGGAAGGGGGAAGGGAAGGGGGAGGGCCAGGGGAAGCAGCAGAGCCAGCTGTTGCTGAGTCAGCAGCGGCAGCCAGGTCGAAACCAAAGCGGGGCGGTCACGCGGCTCGGTCGACGCTCGTCCATCGACTTAGCGGATGTCGCGGCGGCGAGAGCGGCGGCAGCCGCGGCGAAAGAATCTCCCTCGGCTCGTGGCTATGAGACTTTCAACAAAGGCGGCGCCGCGACCGCCAGAAGCAGTCCCGCTGACGGCGGCGCGAGGAGGCTCCATCTGTCGAACCGCCAGACGAGCGGAGATTGGGCGGCGTATGTTGGGCAGAGGAAGAGCGGCGCGCAGAATACGCGCGCACAAGCGCATGAGCAGCGTGGACGGTCGCTCTCTCCCTTCGCCAACGCCTCCGCGGAGGTCGAGCTCGCGTCCCCCCCGTTGCTCGAGGGCGGAGGCGTCGGCGCAGATCCTTCGCATCATGCGCAATACTTCCCGCCCAAATCTCCGCGAGCTGCCCGCCTCCCCCTTGGTTCCCCGCATTCTTCCGGGATTGAGTCCGCTGGTCCGCCTATGGTTGCGCTTGACCCCACGCAAGCGGGGATGCTATTTTCCGCCGTTTTGCACCGCGGGAAAGCCGCTGGTTCGCCCGAGGCGGCGGAATCGGTGGAGGTTCGCACTTCCCCCGCGTCAACAGAAAGCTCCGCCGCGTCGGGGCATAGACGGGGTCATCGTCGCGCCGCTAGCGCGCAACTGAACTCTATGGATACTGCGGCGGTGCTTTTTGGGCGGACAGCACAAGCACCCGCGCAAAAGGAGCAGGCGCAAGAGCAGGCGCAGGGGCAGAAGGCGGGAGCTGAAGCGGACGGATCAGGGGAAACGCACAGGCGCGCGCAAGCACAGGCGCAGGCGCATGCACAGGGGCACGCGCAGCCCACGAAAGAGCGGGAGCGGGAGCAGTCAACCACGGAGCGCACCACCTTTCCCGCCGGAATCTCCGCGAAAACGAGAGCAACCCTTAGTATGCCGAAATCCCCCAGTAGCGGCAGCGCACGAAACCGCAGCCCGCTAAAAGCGGCGCAATATACTGGCCGTCGGGAATTGACCTCGATTGGTAGTAGCGGCAGCAGCGGCGGGAGTAGCGGCAGCAGTGGCGACAGCAGCGGGGGCGGCGGAAGTGGCAGTGAGAGGCGAGAGAACACGTCGTCGAAGTGTGCTATAAGCGGGACTGGTGGCGGTAATAGCGGCACGGACAGTGGGAAGGGCAACGACAGCGGCGAAGGGACGGATGCGGGGAGCAGGACGGGTGGCGCAAGCTCACGTGTGCCTGGTGTGCGCGCAAGTGCAAGTGTCGGAAGCGCAAATGGCGCGAGCGCGCTCCTCCGCGCGGAGCGCGAGCGCTCGCCCCCGCTCTCGTCCCCCCTCTCCCGCCCGCGCCTCCTCTCTCACGTGTCCCTTGGCCCCGCAATTAGCGCCGAAATTCGTGCCGCCGCGAATGAGGTCGCGCGGAGAGAGGGGGGAGAGGCGGGAGGCGCACAAGAAAAAGACAGCGGCGCAGGGGGGAGCGGGAGGGGACGGGGCGGAAAGGGGGATGATGGAGGACCGGAAATTTCGGGGAATAGAAAGGCGGGAACAGGCGGGCGGCAGGCGCTATCGTTGGGTTTAAGCTTTTCGGCGGGGCGGGAAGAGTCGTCGTTGGGATTAGGGTTAGGGGGTTGGAGCGCAAGCATGGCCGCTTTCGCTGGCGGAGGGGGGAGTGTGGGCGGAGGCGGGGGAGGAGGCGCAGGGGGAGCGGGCGGGGGGGTTGTCCAATCGCCGAACAGGAGGCGCGGAATCCAAGAATTCGCGTTTCAACCGGTCGCGTCTCCTCTTGGTGGAAACACTGTAGCGTCTACAGCGGGAAACAGTTATACTGTAGAAAAAGATATGTTTTCATCGGGGTCAATGTATTCTTCTGAGGCTTCCCCCAAGGGGCGTGGGGGGATGGGAGGGGGAGGGGAGGCGGAGAGGAGTGTGAGTTGGAGGGGGAGAAACGAGAGGAGGACGCTTGCCACGTCAGCAGTAGGAGATAAGGAGATTGGGGGAGGAGTAGGAGGAGGAGGAGCAGGAGAAGGGGAGGGGGGAGCAGGAGAGGAAGTTGATGGGGTGCTGGAGAGGAGTTTGAGTGCCAGAAGGCGAGATCAGGCGGAAATGGAACGGACACTAAGTGCCAGACGAAGGGACGCAGCAGCACCTACTGCTGCAACTGCACTCTCTGATGGAGGGATGGGAGGAGGGGGAAGAGGAGGAAGAGGAGGAGGAGGAGGAGGAGGAGGAGGAGGAGAGGGAGGAGAGAGTGGGGGAGGGGAAGGAGAAGATGGAGAGGTGGGGTTGGAGAGAACTTTGAGTGCAAGGAGGAGGGATCAGTTGGAAATAGAACGAAGCCTTAGCTCCAGGCGACGACGAGAGGCTTTAAGTTTTGCAACGTCCCCAAGCTCGCGAGGAGAGGCTTTAAGCTTTGAGACGTCCCAAAGCTCGAGACGAGGGGGGGCTAGTACCGTTGCTGATGCTGGTGTTGTTGGCTTGGGAATGCGCCGTTCTCCTAGTGAAAGTGCTCTTAACGTGAAGGGATGTAAAAGCGTAACGAGTGATTATGATGAAAGGAGGTCTCACCTCCCGTCGATGTCACCGCCTTCGTCTTTATCCGTTTCTCCCGTTCTGCTTTCCCCCATTGGCTTGTCCATGCCGAACCAACGCCAAGCCTCTTTGCAAAGCTCGGGAGAGATCGAGCCTGAGGAGGAAGATACGGATGAGGAGGACGAGGGGGGGAGGGAGAGAGACAGGGAGAGAGAGAGGGAAAGGGAGAAGAAGCTGGAGATGATTCGGAAGCAGGAGGAGTTGCAGCAGCAGCGAGCAGCACTCCAGAAGCAGCAAGAGGAGCTTATGAGACAGCAGCAGCTACTGCTGCAGCAGCAGGAGGAGTTGCGGTTACAAGAGGAAAGGCTGATTGCAGAGCAGGAGCGGCAGGAGAGGGAGAAGGAGAAGGAGAGGGAAAGGGATAAAGGAGAAGGTGAAAAAGGGAAGAAGAAGGGGCAGGTGCGGCAATTGCAGCAGCAGCAGCGGCAAAGCAGTCGCTCAGGAAGACGCCCCACGCTGGGAAAGATACTGTCAGGGAGACAGAGCCACAAGCAGCAAGAGCAGAAGCAGGAGGAGAAGGAGAGAGAAAAGGAAAAGGGAGACAGCAAGGGCGAGCAGACACACGGACAGAATGCACAGCCAGCAATGCCATCCCAGCAGCAGCAACCGCAGCAGCAGCAGCAGCAGCAACAACAACAGCACGGGGGGAGGGGTAACCAGCCGATTGCTAGATTCTTCTCGGCTGCTTCGGGTACCCTCAAGTCCCTGATTGGTGGTGGCAGCAGCAGCACTGGTGGCGGTGCTTCTGCTGCTTCTGCTAGTGCTAGTGGATCAAGCAGGGGCCACGGTGCAACCTCCCCTCTGCCGTCCCCTCTTCCCTCTCCTGTTTTCTCCTCCTTCTTTCACACTGCTGCTGCTGAGGCTGCTCCTGCTGCTGTTGGTGCTGCTGCTGCCGCTCCTGCTGCTGCTGGTGCAGTTGATTCCGATGCTGCCCTTGCCAACGCTGCTGCTTCGGGTTCCGAGCATCATGTGCTTTTGGCAGCAGAATGCTCGGAGGCCACAGGCTCGGAAATTGCAGGCTTGGCAGCCGCAGGCTCGGCAGTTGCGGGCTCGGCGGCAGGAGTGGACGCAGTGGCAGCGGCAGGCTTGGAAGCCACTTTCAGGCTCAACATACCTGGAGATTCTCCTGATGACGTGGCAGGATTTGTCACGACTCGTAAGCAGAAGCAGTCCAATCGCAGTGCAAGGTGTGTGTCATGTGCTGCTGATGGGCATGATGTGAGGGAGAGAAGGCCTGGCTCTGCTGCTGCTGCTGATGGTGATAGTGATGATGATGATGGTGCTGCTGATGCTGCTGATTCTGATTTTGCTGCTGCTGCTGCTGCTGCTGCTGCTGGGACTGGCAATGTTAGGGACGGAGGTGGAGGTATTGAGATTGTTCCATTTGGTAGTGCTACCGCTGCTTCTGCCGCTTCTGCTGCTGCTTCTGCTGCTGCTTCTGCTGCTGCTGCTGCTGCTGGTTGGACTGGCAGTGCTAGTGATGGGGGTGGGGATATTTGGCCTGCTTCTGGTGCTGGTGCTGGTGCTGGTGCTGGTGCTGGTGCTGGTGGTGCCACTGAGATTGGTTGTGTTGAGTCAAGAACAGCCAGAAACCGCCGGCCACGGCGGCAAAGTGCCGAATATATCCGCCCGAACATGCTAGCAGACAAGGAAGGCCACACCGCTGACACCGGCTCGTTCAAAGACAAGGACAATGAACAGGAAGACGACACAAACAGTGATATGAACAGTGACGTGAACAGTGACATAGGGTTTGACTCCCCGGACCGGCCCGCCAGGTTCGTCAACCACTCCGACCGTAGGGTCGGCGCCCGGGGCAAAGCCAGGCTCGGCGGAGGCCCGTTGCCGCACCAAACCGCCGTGCACGAGGGCCGGGGAGGGTGGGAGGCGCGGGGCGGCGGCGGGGGAGGGGGCAGTGGTGTGCTTTCGAGCAGAAGCTGCAGGAATGAGAGCGATGCGGATCTAAGTATTGGCTCGTCTTCTGGTACTGGTGTTGCTATGCTGGCGGGGTTTCAGTTGAAGGGTGTTCCTAAGGAGCAGATTGGGTTGCTCCTGGAACAGCAGGCAGAGAGAAGGGCCGCTAGGGCTAAGGGTGGTGGTGGAAGCGGTGATGTTGGCGCTGCTGCTGCAGGTGCATTGGGTGCTGTGGCTGGTGGTGGTGGTGGTGGTGGTGGTGGTATGTGGAAGGGGAGGATGGGTGGGAGTGCTGGGGAGAACGATATGCAAGGGTATTATACTCAACGCGATTCCGGTCAGCAGCAGCACCAACAGCAGCAGCACCAGCAACAGCATCAGCAGCAGCAACAGCATCGCCGGAAGTACTATTGCGGGCCAGAAACCTCCTCAGCTCCTGGCTTCTCCCTGACCTCCGTTGGTGCTCCCTCTGCCCTGCTGTTTCCCCACCAGCACCAGCAGCACCAGCAACAGCACCAGCAGCAACAGCAACAGCATCATCAGCAGCAGCAACAGCAGCAGGAGGCGGACCATCAGCATGGAACGAAAACTGGAGGAGCGAAAGCAGCTGGTGCTGCTGCCGTCGCTGCCGGTGCTACCAGTGCTGCTGCTACTACAGCAGCACTCGGCCCTAGCAGCCGACCAGGAGGGGGAATAGGGCCCCTGCAAGGGCGAGCCATAGGTGTAAGCAGCCTGAAGGACCACCACAGAGGGACGTACCCCAGCCTTCGCCCCACAGACTACATATTTGAGAAGCCGTATGAGGACCTGCGGACGCGGTACATTCTGCACAATAAGAAGCTGGGCAGCGGGCAGTACGGGGTGATCAGACGGTGCCTGGAGATCAGCAGTGGCATGCAGCTGGCGTGTAAGACGGTCAAGAAGGCCGAGATCAAGGTGAGTGGGATAAGCGTCTGTTCTTCTCTTATGGTAACACCGAGTGATGCCCTGAAAGGTGCTCTCTTGACGGGCCTCAAAACGCTGGGAGTGAGGTGCAGTTTCCACCACAACAAGGTGTGTTGTGGGAAGTCTTGTTCCCCGTGATTAGAAGCTAGGCAGCGGGCAGTACGGGGTGATAAGACGGTGTTTGGAGATCAGCAGTGGCATGCAGCTGGCGTGTAAGACGGTCAAGAAGGCCGAGATCAAGGTGAGTGGGATAAGCGTCTGTTCTTCTCTTATGGTAACACCGAGTGATGCCCTGAAAGGTGCTCTCTTGACGCGCCTCAAAACGCTGGGAGTGAGGTGCAGTTTCCACCACAACAAGGTGTGTTGTGGGAAGTCTTGTTCCCCATGAGAGGAAGCTGGGCAGCGGGCAGTACGGGGTGATAAGGCGGTGCTTGGAGATCAGCAGCGGCGTGCAGCTGGCGTGTAAGACGGTCAAGAAGGCCGAGATCAAGGTGAGGGGGATTGCAATGCATGAGAAGGCCGAGATCAAGGTGAGTAGCATAAACGTCTGGGCTGGAGGACAGGATGGGGGGGAAAGGGATCTCTGTGTATGCAGCTGGCGTGTAAGACGGTCATGTCTGCCGAGATTAAGGTGAGTAGGTGACTTTTGAGTCGACTCAAAAGTCGACTCAAAGGTCGACTCAAAGGTCGACTCAAAAGTCGACTCAAAAGTAAGACGGTCATGTCGGCCGAGGTTAAGGTGAGTGAACGGCATACACGTGCGTTTCTTATGCTTGATGTGCGAGCCTTGGGTGTGAGCAGCTTGAAGGATCGCCACAGAGGGACGTACGTACCCTAGCGTTCACCCCACAGAGGGACGTACGTACCCTAGCGTTCACCCCACAGACTACATCATTCAGAAGGCTTGTTTGTACTGATGAAGATTCGAAAGACCTCCGCAGCCCACCTGTTTACCACTGACAGTACGTACCCTAGCGTTCACCCCACAGACTACATCATTCAGAAGGCACGGGTCATCCCTTCTTTCCTTCCCTCCCTCTAATCATGCATATTTGTGTGTGAGGCAATTCAAAGGCATACCCCTGTTTCCCTTTTCTTCCCCTCTCTGTGTGTCCATCCATCAGTCACACGAGGAGGCTCAGGATTTGAAAAAGGAGGTGGCCACTCTCTCCATGCTGCAGGGCCACCCCTCATCATCCCCCCCCCTCTCTTGTCTGTTTCTAAAGCGCCTCATAATGCATCCCGTGTTTCTCCCTCGTCCCCATTCGCCTGTATGTCCATCCATCAGTCTCATGAGGAGGCTCAGGATTTGAGGAAGGAGGTGGCCACGCTCTCCATGCTGCAGGGCCATCCCTTCAGTAATCCCTTCAGCCCTTCAGTAATCCCTTCAGCAGCCCTTTAATATTCCCTCTGTATCATGCCTTGCTCTTCCCACTCTCCCTTTCTTCCCCCGCCTCTCTGTCTATCCACCAGTCACACGAGGAGGCTCAGGATTTAAGGAAGGAGGTGGCCACTCTCTCCATGCTTCAGGGCCATCCGTTCATCGTTCGGTTGCATGACACTGTGGAGGACAGGAAGGTACGGGAAAGGTTTGGGAACAGGCTTGGGAACAGGCTTGGGAACAGGACGGGAAGAGGTTGGGAAACAGGTTCCAGGACAGAGTTATCAATGGGCTTGGAATGCTGCAGGGCCATCCGTTCATCGTTCGGCTGCATGACACTGTGGAGGACAGGAAGATACAGTATGTGGGCAGGTCCGGGACAGGTTCCGGACAGGTTTGGGACAGGTTGAGACAGGTTCAGGAGCATTATCAGTAAACAGAGTGGCCAAGGAGGGACCCTACAGTGTGGCAGCGGGGGCGAGGCTGTGCTGCCACCGCCAACTTTGTCCCCCCTCTCCCCTCTCCCCACATGGTGATGGAACTATGCACACGGGGGGTGGCTTGTTCGACAGGGTGGCCAAGGATGCCAGGGGGAGCTGGCCTTGACCGGTCAAGGAGAACTCTTTGGCAGGTTGGCCAAGGCGCGAGGCTGTGCGACAGGGCCGAGACCTCTTGGACCGGGTAGCCAAGGACGGCCCCTACAGCACAGCAGCGGGCGCCAGGCTGTGTGCCCACCTGGTGGCGGCGCTGCTGCACTGCCACCGCCACCGCCAACGATGTCCTCCCCTCTCCCCTCCCCTCTCCCCTCCCCTCTCCCCTCCGCTCTCCCCTCCCCTCTCCCCTCCCCTCTTCCCTCCCCTCTCCCTTCCCCTCTCCCCTCCCTCATCCCCACAGCACGTCCACATGGTGATGGAGCTCTGTACTGGAGGAGACCTGTTCGACCGAGTAGCAAAGGACGGCCCCTACAGCACAGCTGCGGGCGCCAGGTTGTGTGCGCAGCTGGTGGCGGCGCTGCTGCACTGCCACCGCCACGGCATCGTGCACCGCGACGTGAAGCCCGAAAACATCCTCCTTACAAGCAGACAGCTTAACAGCGATATCAAGCTCGTGGACTTCGGAATTGCTACCTTCTTCCAGGAAGGTGCGTCTGGTTTGGTTTGTGGTCTGTTTGGGTGGGAAGGGGTGTGGGTGAAGGGGGTGAGGGGAATGGGGGGTTGAGGGGGATCCCTACAGCTGGTGGCGGCGCTGCTGCACTGCCACTGCCATGGCATTGTGCACCGGCAACGTGAAGCCCGAAAACATCCTCCTTACAAGCAGACAGCTTAATAGTGATATCAAGCTGGTGGTCTTTGGCATCGCCACCTTCTTCCAGGAAGGTTCGTTTGGTTTGGTTTGGTGTGTGTGGGGGTGCGGGAAGGGGGTGAGGGGAAACGGGGGTTGAGGGGGGCCCCTACAGCGTGAGAGTGCGGGCGTGACTGTGCTGCCAGCTGGTGCAGATCCAGCAGATTCTCGTACATATTTCCAGTAATCAGCGATGCTTAGGAGCAGCGGTGCTTATGAGCAGCGGTGCTTAGAAGCAGCAGTGCTTAAGAGAAGCGGTGCTTAGAAGCAGCGGTGCTTAAGAGCAACGGTGGACAGGGAGTTCAGCCCCTCAAAACAGTGATTACTCTCGCTCTGTCCTTTGTTGTACACACCCACCCATGAACCCATCCCATCTCCACCTACCCCCATACCCGAAACCTCAGGCGAGCGGCTGAAGGAGCTGATGGGCACGCCGCAGTACATGGCACCGGAGCTCATCCAGGGGGAGTGCGGCCCCTCAAACCTGTGATAGCTCCCACGATTACCTTCACCCACACCAACCCAAAACCCGATGCCATTCCTAACCCCATACCCTACCCCAGGCGAGAGACTGAAGGAGCTGATGGGAACGCCGCAGTACATGGCACCGGAGCTCATCCAGGGGGAGTACGGCCCCGAGGTGGACATGTGGAGCGCTGGGGTCGTCATGTACATCGCCATGTGCGGCGTGCCGCCCTTTTGGGCGTCGTCTAATCGCTCGCTTGCGGAGGCGATAAGAGGGAAGGAGGTTAGCTTTAAGAGCGCCAAATGGGCTGGTGTGCCGGAGGAATGCAAGGATCTGATTGGCCGGATGCTGGTGAAGGACCCGAAGCGGCGAATAACTGCTTTAGAGATACTTGGTGAGTGTTTGATTGAGTTTCTTGTTTTTTTTTTTTGTAGCTCACTGTAGTCTCGTGGTATGAACGATGGTACCACTCCACCCCCATTTTTGCTGCTTTCCCAGCTTTCTTCCTCTCCCAGTCCCCCTGGGCCCTACCCCCCCAACTCATCACTCACCCCCTCTCCTCGATGTCCCTTATCCTATGATGTCTCTTACTACAGGGCATCCATGGATACGTGAATCTGCACTCTGATATTGCAGAGTGCAATTACTGCTGCAGCATTCATTTGTTTGATGCACCAATTTTGTAGGTTACGAAGGGAAGCACTTGCATCGAATAAAGAGTTGTATGAGGTCACCACATTATTATTGCTGTAGACGAATGTGCAGTTTCTGGTGGAAAATGTTATATTATTTCAAAACTGTTGTAAAACTGTGGTGCGTCTATTGTCTGTAACAATTTGAACTTACAAATTCACTCATCTGAAAGTACTGTTGTCGTCGGCCGTCAGTGTTTGTTCGCAAGCCGTCAACTTAGCTGCTACGGACGAACATCCGCTCGCAATTCACCTCCCTTGAAAACCTCTTCCACAAGAACCAGCAGACTTCCCAGTCGTCATGGCGTTTTGTGGTCCTTGTTTGGCGACTTCCGTCCCCACGTTTCTGTCCACACCAGCGATTTCCGTTCCCACCAGCGATTTCCGTCCCCACCAGCGATTTCCGTCCGCACAACCTCAAACGGTTTCAGTTTTCAACCAGACTTCTGTCCGTTCAGCTCGTCAATCCCTAGGCAATGTTTTGTCCTCCATTCTGAGCTGGAGCTGTGCTACCTCTAGCAGTTGGAAGTTGCAACAACCTACAATCGGAGCCTGTTTTTTCACTAGGAACTTTTTGGATCCCAATTTTCAGTCTGATGCTGTTTCTCTCCCCGCTCGCTCCATTCCTGAAGTTTCCCGCCTTGCAAACCCTAGGCTGTTGTTGTCAGTCGTCGCCATTCTCCGCATCGCACGGGAGACGTGGTATTGTTTCCCAGAGCGCGACTGGATCTGTAGGTCGTAGATGGAGAAGGCTAGGGTTTCGCCTCATGGCTAGGGAGCTGCTAAGATTGGAGTTGGCATGAAGTAGTGTGAAGGAGAGGACTCAGCGGCTCGCATCGACGTCGCGTTTGAAGCTTCTCTTAATCTGACGTGGTTTTTCTTAAGCTTCACTTTCCAAAACGTAGCGACTTTTTAAAGCGTAGCCAGTTGCTCGCAGTACTCTTCGATACGCGTTATCCGCGCTATGGCGTCTTCTAGCGGTGGTGTGTTTCTGGGCGCATCTAGCAGTGCAGGAGCTGCCGCCGCTTCAGGAAGCAGGGCTACGAGGGGGGGAGGTGGTGGAGCAGAGCAATTACCGAGGGAATTAAAAGACATGACCATTCGAGACGACGACCGGGTGAGAGAGAGTCGACGTATTGCGCATTGCCGGTTCCGCTGCCTCCGGCGTTTTTTTTAATTTATATTTTGTTACCCTTGACGCGCACAAGATCGCACTTATTAGTTAAGCACAGTCATTCTTTTATTTTCTTCTCTCTGGCGCTTCATCTATTCAGTGAAAACAGGAAATGCGCATCAGCTATCGCTGTACTGACCTTCGCGTTGCGGCTTGTTTCATGATATCTGTAGGACATGGATGCTGCTGTCGTGGAGGGAAGCGGAACAGAGACAGGTCACATAATTACGACCACCATTGGAGGAAAGAATGGTCAGCCAAAACAGGTTCGTGGTTTTTATATTCTTATTACTCAACCTTATTTTCGTCCTGGCCAAGAGTCCCATGTGTTTCGTTGATGCCGTATCTGATCACCTTCACGACCCGTTTCTCGTTGACCGAGTTTCCGCGTTGCTTCGTCGTTCGCACTTGATGCGCGTGTATGAATCGTCATGCATGCGCTTGACTCGCGCATCGTGGCTCTGAGAAGTGAGTTGCAATGACGCCGTTCCAGAATCTCCGTTCCCTTCGCAACGGCCTTTTAACCGTTTCCGTGCGTGACGCCATTCCCGCATTTCGGTTCCCGTTGCAGCCGTTATTTTTCTAACTTTCTGCGCTAATAGCGGCTCAGTGTCGTGATTCCCAAATTGTTTGTTGACATCACCTACTTGGTCCTCGACCGTTTCTTTCCCGCCATTTTCATGACTTTACTTCGTTTGCCTTTGGCGGGCGCTTCCCGCAGTGTCAATATTTTCTTATGAGCTCCGTTGAACTTAGACATACACCTTTTTTTCCCCACCAGAGCTAATTCCCGTCTGTGTTTCGGTCATTAAGTTACCCTAACTTGTTCAAGTGCGTTGCCATTGTAATGCCGCTTTCAATTGCAGGCCATCAGCTACTCGGCAGAGCGCGTGGTGGGGAACGGTTCGTTTGGAGTTGTATTCCAGGTAAAAAACTCATGTCAGTTATAGTCGACGTTCGTTTAGTGCCCGTGTTTCTTAAACGCATTATCGAGTACTTTAGTGGACAGATAGAGCGAACCTGTCGATTCTCCAACGTTGCTTGCTTGCGCGCAAATGCGGTTCCACGTTTCTGGAACTATTTCAGCCTCTGCACAGGTGAGTGGGGGGAGGGCGTCCTTTACACCGACGGACGAAATGGTGGCGATAGAGGCAAGCGTTACAAGAACCGCGTGCCGCAAATTATTCTTCCACGCGCCTCAGATCATTCCCTCCCTCAATCGCAGAAGCTTCCTTTCGCCCTCACCCACGCGTCCTGTCTGGAGACGGGCGAAACGGTGGCGATAAAGGTGTCACAGGACAAGCGTTACAAGAATCGCGAGCTGCAGATCATGCTGTGACGCATCTCAAATCATTTCCTCCCTCAATCGCACGCACACGCCTCGCCTCGCCCACTCCCACTCTCCCAGGCGTCCTGTCTGGAGACGGGCGAAACGGTGGCGATAAAGAAGGTGTTACAGGACAAGCGTTACAAGAACCGCGAGCTGCAGATCATGCGGCTGCTGGAGCACCCGAACGTGGTGGCGCTGCGGCACTGCTTCTTCTCGACGACGGACAAGGACGAGCTGTACCTGAACCTGGTGCTCGAGTTCGTGCCCGAGACCGTCTACCGCATCACCAAGCACTACACCAAGATGAACCAGCGCATGCCGCTGCTCTACGTCAAGCTCTACACCTACCAGGTGCGTCCGCCGCCCGGGTATCTGTGAGACCGTGAGAGAGAGCAAGGGGGAGGACAGTGGAGCGGGAGAGTGAGGGAGAGGGGGAGGGGGGAGGGGGGCGGGCTGGGGAGGGGGAAAGGGGGAGAGGGTGTGTGCGTGGGTGCTAGTATCCAAGTGTGCGTGTGGGTGTGGGGGCGCACACACGGGAGCGTGGGAGTGGCGCATGGGTGCGGCACTGCTTCTTCTCGACGACGGACAAGGACGAGCTGTACCTGAACCTGGTGCTCGAGGGGGGGAAGAAGGGGTGCATCCACGATTGCGTGTGCGTGTGTGTGTGTTTGTGTTGATGGGTGTGTGCCTATGAGGCGAACATAATAGGATGGCCTATACGATTTACCATCCACACACACCCCATTGCATCTTCTCATCTTCCCTCCCGTTCACCCAGTTTCTCCCTCCCCCCGTCAACCATTCCATGCATCGCCTCCGCCTATTCACTCGTTGTCGTCGACTCACGTCCGAGCTGACTTTTGAGTCAACTCAAAAGTCAGCTCAGTTCCTCCCTCCCTCCGTCAACCATTCCATGCATTGCCGCCTATTCACTCGTTGTTGTCGACTCACGTCCGCCCCGCCGCTTCATTTTTCGCTTGAAACTTTTTTTCGTTCATGTTCCCCTGGTCCCGCTCCACTCCTTCCCGGTCCCGGCCCCCTTCTTCCCACTCCCCTTTTCAGCTGCCTGCAACAGGTGGAGTCTACCTCTCATGCGCTATTTGCGAGTCCTAATTCCTGTTTTCTCCATTTTGTGTCGTTTTATTGCGAAATTGTGGTGTGTGTTTGGGCTGTTCCTTTCCTTTCCCCTTGTGCAGATTTGTCGAGCGCTGGCGTACATTCACAACGGCATCGGCGTGTGTCATCGCGATATCAAGCCGCAAAACCTTCTTGTAAGAACAGCTGAAGTGATACCAACCAACCACCGTCCATCGCATCACCCTACACCCTTCACACAAGCCATTATTCCCCTCGTTTTCCCTCCTTGCCGCTCTCCCACCTCCCATTCCGTTCCCGATGCTCTTTCCCTTCCCCTCTCCCATCCCCCTCCCCTATGTCCGTTTGCATTGCAACCACCTTTCTGCCATACCTACAAATCCCCATCTCTCTGACTTTCGTACGTTCCTCTGCCATACCTGTCTTAAGGTCCATATCAGTTTTTTCCTGCTACTGCCTGCCTTCTTTGTCACTCCATGGTTCTTATCATCATTGTTCCCTCTCTCCCCTCCCCTTCCCCCAACACCCACTCTCCCCTACCCCTCTCCTCTCTCCTTCTCCCCCCCCCCCTCTCTTTCCTCTCCCCACCAACACTCTCTCTCCATTCCGTCTGCAGGTCAATCCGCACACGCATGAACTCAAGCTGTGCGATTTTGGAAGCGCAAAAGTCCTGGTTAGTCTATACACTCGCGTGCATGCCAAGCTTGGTGCCAGATTCGTGTTCCTGCTTTTGAGACGTCTCAAACATCACTTTTGTGCGCCTTCCTGTCCTGTGTTTCCTTTGTGGCGCTTCACAAGTCGTCTCCTATTTTGAGGCGCCTCCAATAGTTTGTTCCTGCTTTTGAGACGTCTCAAGCATCACTTTTGTGCTCCTTCCTGTCCTGTCCTGTGTTTCCACTGTTCATGACCATTCTGGCTTCTGCGCCCACCTTCCTTGTTGTTCCTCCTGTTGTGTGGTTTGAGGCTGCTGCAGCCTATTATGCTCTATGTTCTAACCCTCTTCTCACTGAACACTCCCACTGCAGGTGAAGGGCGAGCCCAACATATCGTACATCTGCTCGCACTACTATTGCGCACCAGAGCTCATCTTCTGAGGCGCCTCGACGCCCCTGTCTTTCTTCTTTCTCATCTTCGTAACTGCCCGTGTCCCTGCCCGGTGACATGCACCTCCTCCCCTTGCGATCACTGTCATTGCGTGCAGGTGAAGGGCGAGCCCAACATCTCGTACATCTGCTCGCGCTACTACCGCGCGCCAGAGCTCATCTTTGGGGCCACGGAGTACACCACAGCCATTGACATCTGGTCCGCTGGCTGTGTCATGGCGGAGCTGCTGCTGGGGCAGGTGAGCCTTCTCATTCCTGCTGGAGCAATTGTTCTGCTCTAGCCAGCCCCTGTTCTGTATCCCTTTCCCTCCTTGCCTCCCCCACCCCCCCTCTCTTCCTCCCTCCCTTCCTTCACCTCCCCCCCCACACTCCCTTCCTTCACCCCCCCCACCCCCCCTCTCTTCCTCCCTCCCTTCCTTCACCCCCCCCCCACACTCCCTTCCTTCCCCCCCCCCCCCCCTCCCTCTCTTCCTCCCTTCCTCCCAACCTTCCCTCCCCACCACCTTCTCTGCTTCGTACTTCTCATCCCTGCCACAGCCTCTGTTCTTCTCCTCTCTCTCCGCCATCAGCTTCTGTTGCCGGGTGAGCGACTTCTGAGGCGCCTCAGAAGTCCCCCCCTCTCCCCCAACTCCCTCCGCCCCCCACCCCCCCTTCTTTGCTTCGTACTTCTCATCCCGGCTACAGCCTCTGTTCTTCTCCTATCTTTCCGCCATCAGCTTCTGTTGCCGGGTGAGCACGTGGATGGATCAGCTTCTGCTATAAAATAATCAAGGTGCTGGGCTGGGAACCTCCTTGTGCCTGTCTCTCACACTCCCCCCCGCACTCCTCTAGCCCGCCAACCCCCGATTCTCCCCACAACAGCCTCTATCCCCGGGCGAGAGCGGCGTGGACCAGCTGGTAGAAAGCATCAAGGTGCTGGGAACACCTAGTCAGACCCTACCAGCACTTGCTCATTTGTCCCCTCCCCTTGTCCCTTCCTCTCCTTCCCGCCATCAGCCACTATTCCCAGGCGAGAGCGGGGTGGACCAGCTGGTGGAGATTATCAAGGTGCTGGGAACGCCCACACGGGAGGAGATAAAGTGCATGAACCCCAACTACACGGAGTTCAAGTTCCCGCAGATCAAGGCACACCCCTGGCACAAGGTGGGTGCTTGCTGTGCTGTGTGCGTGTGTGTTGATTGAGCCAACTTTATGCGCACCAACAAGGGAGGAGATAAAGTGCATGAACCCCAACTACACCGAGCTCAAGTTCCCGCAGATCAAGGCACACCCCTGGCACAAGGTGGGTGCTTGCTGTGCTGTGTGCGTGTGTGTTGATTGAGCCAACTTTATGCGCACCAACAAGGGAGGAGATAAAGTGCATGAACCCCAACTACACCGAGCTCAAGTTCCCGCAGATCAAGGCACACCCCTGGCACAAGGTGGGTGCTTGCTGTGCTGTGTGCGTGTGTGTTGATTGAGCCAACTTTATGCGCACCAACAAGGGAGGAGATAAAGTGCATGAACCCCAACTACACCGAGCTCAAGTTCCCGCAGATCAAGGCACACCCCTGGCACAAGGTGGGTGCTTGCTGTGCTGTGTGCGTGTGTGTTGATTGAGCCAACTTTATGCGCACCAACAAGGGAGGAGATAAAGTGCATGAACCCCAACTACACCGAGCTCAAGTTCCCGCAGATCAAGGCACACCCCTGGCACAAGGTGCGTGTTTGTGATGTGTGTGTATGTGTTTTGTGTGCGTGTGGTGTGTTGTATGCGTGTGTGCTCTCCCGCACGATTCACTTTAAGGGAGGAGATGAAGTACATGGACCCCAACTACACGGAGTTCAAGTTCCCACAGATCAATGCACATCCCTGGCACAAGGTGGGCGTGTGCTGAGTGCGTGTGTGCTATAAGCATGTGTGTCCTCTGTTTTGACTCACAATTCAACCACGTGCATGAATCTCCACCCCGCCCCCCCTCTCCCCCTCCCCCCCACCGCCTTTTTCTTAGGTCTTTTCAAAGAGGGTGCCGGCAGAGGCAGTGGACCTGGTGTCGCGGCTGCTGCAGTACTCCCCCAACCTGCGCTGCACTGCGGTGAGAGGTCCCTCAGCTCAGCTGCACGATTCTTGCATCCTTGTCACGGTTCGTTTCTGCGTTGACTGTAGCGTGTGCTCGAGAGCTCACTCACAAGACACCCTTTGAGTCGACTCAAAAGTCACCTCGACTCAAAAGTCACCTCGACTCAAAAGTCACCTCGACTCGAAAGTCACCTCGACTCGAACGTCACCTCGACTCGAAAGTAACCTCGGCTCAAAAGTCACCTCGACTCAAAAGTCACCTCGACTCGAAAGTCACCTCGACTCAAAAGTCGAGTCGACTCAAAAGTCTGACTGTAGAGTGTACTCGAGAGGTGACTCACAAGACACCATGTGCCGAAGCTGCTGCACTACTCCCCCAACCTGGACTGCATGGCTGTGAGAGGCCCCGTCCCTTTTTCGGTGAGATCCCCTAGCACCAGGCTTGTTACAGAGACACCTCTAACCTGCTTGTTCTCTCCCGCACACGACTATCTGTGCTGCTTGTTGCAGGCGGAGGCGCTGGTGCATCCCTTCTTCGACGAGATCAAGGACCCCAACACCAGGCTGTCCAACGGCAAGCCCCTTCCCCCCTGTGCTCCTTGAGAGCTGTCTCTCAAGCTGCCTTGCGTTTCCTGCCTGTGCTGAATGTGCTGTTTCTTGCAGGCGGAGGCGCTGGTGCATCCCTTCTTTGACGAGATCAAGGACCCCAACACTCGGCTGCCCAACGGCAAGCCCCTGCCTCCGCTGTTCAACTTCAAGAAGGAGGTGAGCATCATGTATATCCATTTGTTCATCGTCCTTACCTTGTTCTCAAATTCTCTAACAGGAGTTGAAGGATATGCCGATCAATCTGGTTCGTCGGATTGTTGAGTCAACTCAGAAGTTGTCCGTGTATCGCTAATCCATCCGTCCATCATCCTTACCCCGTTCACATGCAGAGTTCAAGGGTTTGACGATCTAGCTGGGCCTCAGATTTGTTCCGAAGCACACAGTTTCGATGCGCCAACCATGCATGTTCTTTTTACCTATCCCTGCTTGAACACCCCATCCCACCCCTCCTCCCTACCTCCTCTTCCTCCCCAACCCCCACCTCCCCTCTCCCCACCCCTCCCGAGAAGAGTCCGAGGATGTGCCAATCGAGCAGGTCCATTGAATTTGTCCCAGAGAACATTGTCCCTTCCTCCATGCATCAGCCATGCAACCTCCTTTCATTGCTGCTTATCCCCCCTCCACTCTCCCCCTTCCCTCCCGTTTGTGCCCCCCCTCCCTCCCCGCCTTCCCCCAGCAGGAGTTTAAGGGGGTGCCGATCGAGCTGGTGCGTCGGATTGTGCCCGAGCACACAAGCTGTTCCTCAATGCGTCAACCATGCATCTTTTCTCTATCCCTGCTTTTTCCCCGTCCCACCATATTCTCCCCCCCCCCCCCCCCCCCCCGACCAGGAGTTCAAGGGAGTGCCGATCGAGCTGGTGCGTCGGATTGTGCCCGAGCACACAAGGCGTCAGAATGGCCACCTTCTCGTGTAGCAGCCGCCTGTTGGTGTAGCGGCCCCTTCTAACCTGCTGCCCGTCACCTCTTAGTTTACCCCCTCATTCCCCTCTTCCTCCTCCTTCCCGTCTGCTACTCCTGCTCCTCCTGCCGATCCTCCTCCTGCTTCCGCTCCTCGTGCTCTATAACACACCGGCCTAGAGCAAACCTGGTTCAGTCTGCTCGTGCCCCCATGCACTCATCTACTATCATGCTTCCGTGCACCCATGCACTCATCTACCTTCATGCTTCCGTGCACACATGCACTCATCTACCTTCATGCACCCGTGCACTCGTGCGCTCATCTGCTCATGCACTAATGCATGCATCTGTCGTCAGTGTCTGTATCAGCCTGCTGCCTGCCCCGTCCATCACAGACCCATCTGGTACCGTACCGCACCTCCTCCTGCAACACAGCCTTCTAGGCACCTGTTAGGCACGGGCGTTGATGCATCAACCAACCAGTGCACTTGGTTTTTGTGCCGATTATGTGGGTCGCTTTTGCCTCTTGGACAAAACTTGCACCTTGCGGCAGCGCTCACTTTCACCGTATGGTTAAGCTGCAGCGAGACAACACCTCACTATCACTCTCTCGCGTCTTTGTGAATTGGCCAATCTGGAGCCGAAGCAGCTGCGATTTCTCTGTGCCCTCGTCTACTGCCCCTGCTGCTGCTGCTGCTGCTGCTGCTGCTGCTGCTGCTGCTGCTGCTGCTGCTGCTGCTGCTGCTGCTGCTGCTGCTGCTGCTGCTGCTGCTGCTGCTGCTGCTGCTGCTGCTGCTGCTGCTGCTGCTGCTGCTGCTGCTGCTGCTGCTGCTGCTGCTGCTGCTGCTGCTGCTGCTGCTGCTGCTGCTGCTGCTGCTGCTGCTGCTGCTGCTGCTGCTGCTGCTGCTGCTGCTGCTGCTGCTGCTGCTGCTGCTGCTGTTGTTGCTGATGCGGTTGCAACTATTGCTGGTGGTGCAAGCAAGGCAGGCGGTGGCATTTAAATGAGGAATTACCACATAGATGCTTAATATCACTGTTTAGATGGTACATCTGTTTGAATTACACGGTACAAGAGGCTGTTTGTCTGGTGGATGCTGCTTTTTGTTTGTTTTCTGCTTGGTTCTCTGACCTAGTAGCAGGGATCGTCTGTTGCAGTAGTGAGTCTAACATATGGGAACAGGTGGTAACATCCTGTGGAGTAATTGCAATACTAAGCATGTTATGAGTTGTTAGTGAACAGAGTGGGCGCAGTCAATATCGAGAAGGTGATTACAAAATCTGAGCAAATGATGAAGCCTAGCTAGGGGGGACCTGCGGGCTGATGAGCTTGGGTGCTAGTCTGGGGCTGTCCAGTCCGAAGGCGACGCGGGTTAGGGTCGGGAGGCGAGATTGTCGGACCAAGCCTGGAGTTTCGAAAGTTGGGAGTTGTATGCATACAGTGTGACTCAGTCAGGAATTAGGAAAAAACCTTACAAAGCATGACAGTTCCTCCATGACATAGACGTGTGAATTTTTTAAAGTTAAACTTCTAAAAATTTGAAGATTGTGATTCGACTAGAAGAGGAGTTTGCTGTAAAGGAGACAAACTCCTTTTCATTCCCGCAGGTCTCTCAGACCTGCCACCTAGTCTCATTTGCATTTTCAGATCTCCAATTTTGCTCGGAGAGTCGTGTCACAATTCATTATATACAAGTACGGTACCTAGCATCAGTGTAGCAAGTGCTGGTGCAAAACATTTTATTTGACTCCATTGATCTTGCTGTAAGATAAACACATGCACAAATAAAGCACTCAAAACAAGTGCGCGCGCGCGCGAACACGCGCGGCGCGGACACACACACACACACACACACACACACACACACACACACACACACACACACACACACACACACACACACACACACCTAACCCAGTGCCAGCATCACCTAAGCAGCTGGCTGGCACTTACCCTGCCCTAACCTCTCACCTCTCTCCTCCCCCTCCTCCTCTTCTTCCCTCCTTCGCCCTCTCTGAACGGCAAAACAAAACCGAATCCAGAGCTTTGCCAGGCTCCCCTCCCCCTTCCCCCCCTCCCTCCCTCTTCCTGCTTCCACCCGCTACAACCCCCCTCCCAAATACCTTCTGGATACTAGAAGCAAACCCATCGCGCTACAAGCTTCCACCCGTTACAACCTGCGGCCACCCTTGTTTGATCGCCAGGTGCACCCAGAGCTCCGCCAGGCTCTCCAGATTGCCCTCCCCCTCCTTCAGTACCCCACCTGCTACTCCCCCCCTCCCCTTATGCTTTCTGAACATCAAAGGCAAACCCATTGCGCGCCCACCCCTGCTTGATCGCCAGGTGCACCCAGAGCTCTGCGAGGGCCTCCAGATTGCACCCCCCCACGACCTGCCTTCTTTCCTCTAAGCCTTCTGAACGTCGAAAGCAAACCCATTGCGCGCCCACCCCTGCTTGATGGCCAGATGCACCCAGAGCTCCGCCAGGCTCTCCAGATTGCGCGCATTGCGCAGCGGCCCCACGTCCCCAGCCTATGCCTCGTGCATGTCCTCTACTAGTACTACGCCTTGTGAATGTCGAACGCGAACCCATCCCTCGCCCACCCCTGCTTGATGGCCAGGTGCACCCAGAGCTCCGCCAGGCTCTCCAGATTACGCGCGTTGCGTAGCGGTCCCACATACTCGGGGCGAAATCCAACGGCTGAGATGATCTGACCAAGGGCAAGGGAGGGAGGAAGACATGGCATGATGGGGGGATGCATATGCGCATGAGGGGGTTGGTAGTTGAGGAGCAACGGTCCCACGTACTCGGGGCGATTTCCAACGGCTGAGATGACCTGACCAAGGGCATGGGGGAATGCAGATGCACGTGAGGGGTTGGTAGTTGGAGCAACGGTCCCACGTACTCAGGGCGGAATCCAACGGCTGAGATGATCTGGTGATGGATAGAGGAGGAAGTGGGGATGCGTATGAGGTTGACAGCTGGATGGGTGGGTTGGTGGATTGGTGTTTCATGTGTGAGTGTGGATGATGTGTGAGTGTGGATGATGTGTGAGTGTGGATGATGTGTGAGTGTGGATGATGGGTACACACCTTTGTGTCAGTCTCCTTAGCACCAGAGCATTGCAACCTACTGCCTCCCAGCATTGGCATCACCATCAGTTTGTGGGTGAGTGCACACATACCATACATGCATGCATGCGCACATGCCATACATGCATGGTACCCACGTTGGTAGCAGTCTCCTTGGCAGCAGCATTCTCCGAGCCAGCAAACAGCATGGCAACGGGCTTGCCTCCTAGCGCTGGAATCGCCATCAGCGTCGGCACCACAACACCTTTAGCGTGCATGCATGGCACATAGAACACACACCTTAGTGGCAGTCTCCTTAGCACCAGCATCCTCTGAGCCAGCGAACAGCATGGCGATGGGTTTGCCTCCCAGTGCTGGCATCCCCATCAGATCAGCGTCGGCGCCACCAACACCTATAGCGTGCATGCACAGCACACAGAGCACACACCTTAGTGGCAGTCTCCTTCGCACCAGCATCCTCTGAGCCAGCGAACAGCATGGCGATGGGCTGGCCTCCCAGCGTGGGCGTCACCTTGAGCTCTGCCTTCAGTGCTGGGTTAAAACCGGTGGTCACGTTCTAATGGCGCATCTACCACCCATGCGTGCGTGCATGGTTCTCACCTTACTGGCAGTCTCCTTGGCACCCGCATCCTCAGAACCAGCAAAGAGCATGGCGATGGGCTTGCCTCCCAGCGTTGGTGTCACCATGAGCTCTGCTCCCACCGAGTTGAACGCCTTGTACACGTGTGCGTTAGGAAGGGCCTATAGAGGGGTTCACAGGGGTGAGAGGGGTTGAGAGGGGTGAGAGGGGATAGGGGGGTGTCACCATGAGCTCTGCCCCAACCGAGTTGAACGCCTTGAACACGTGTGCGTGGGGGAGGGTCTGGGTGTGGAGAGCGGTTAAGAGCGGTTGAGAGGGGTGAGAGGGGGGTGTGGGGCATGGGGGAGGGGATAGGGAAGTGTCACCATGAGCTCTGCCCCCACCGAGTTGAACGCCTTGTACACGTGTGCGTGGGGGAGGGTCTGAAGACAGGTTGACAGGGGTTGAAAGGGGTTGACAGGGGTTGAGAGGAGTGCGGGGTCTGAGGGAGGGGATAGGGGAGTGTCAGCATGAGCTCTGCTCCCACCGAGTTGAACGCCTTGTACACGTGCGCGTGGGGGAGTGCCTGGAGAGGAGTTGAGAGGGGTTGAGAGGGGTTGAGAGAGGCTGAGAGGGGTTAAATGCGTGTGTGGGGTATGGGGGAGGGGATACGGGAGGGTCACCATGAGCTCTGGTGATTATCATCTTCTTAGCCCCACTTTACAATCACCTTCTAACTCCCCTTTACTCTCACCTTTTCAACCCCTTTTTATTGTCACCTTTTTCAACTCTTCTGCACCGCTGATGCTCCTGTGGTCCACGTTGATCTCCAACCCCAGCCAGTCACCCTTTTCAACCCCTCTTTCACTCACCTCCTCCCCATCCTCACCTTCTTCAACTCCTCAGCACCGCTGATGCTCCTGTGGTCCACGTTGATCTCCAACCCCAGCCAGTCACCCTTTTCAACCCCTCTTTCACTCACCTCCTCCCCATCCTCACCTTCTTCAACTCCTCAGCACCGCTGATGCTCCTGTGGTCCACGTTGATCTCCAACCCCAGCCAGTCACCCTTTTCAACCCCTCTTTCACTCACCTCCTCCCCATCCTCACCTTCTTCAACTCCTCAGCACCGCTGATGCTCCTGTGGTCCACGTTGATCTCCAACCCCAGCCAGTCACCCTTTTCAACCCCTCTTTCACTCACCTCCTCCTCATCCGCACCTTCTTCAACTCCTCAGCACCGCTGGTGCTCCTGTGATCCACGTTGATCTCCAACCCCGGCCAGGCAGTCACCCTTTTCAACTCACCTTGACACTCACCTCCTCCCCATCCTCACCTTCTTCAACTCCTCAGCACCGCTGGTGCTCCTGTGATCCACGTTGACCTCCAACCCCGGCCAGGCAGTCACCCTTTTCAACCCACCTTGACACTCACCTCCTCCCCATCCTCACCTTCTTCAACTCCTCAGCACCGCTGGTGCTCCTGTGATCCATGTTGACCTCCAACCCCGGCCAGGCAGTCACCCCTTTCAACCCACCTTGACACTCACCTCCTCCCCATCCTCACCTTCTTCAACTCCTCAGCACCGCTGGTGCTCCTGTGATCCACGTTGACCTCCAACCCCGGCCAGGCAGTCACCCCTTTCAACCCACCTTGACACTCACCTCCTCCCCATCCTCACCTTCTTCAACTCCTCAGCACCGCTGGTGCTCCTGTGGTCCACGTTGACCTCCAATGGCACCAGGCATTCACCCTTTCGGTCGCCCCCCCTTTACAGTCACCTCCTCATCCTCACCTTCTTCAACTCCTCTGCACCGCTGGTGGTTCTGTGATCCACACTGATCTCCAACCCCGGCCATGCAGACAAGGGGTTAGACGCATCTAGCACCACTCCCGTGTATGAAGCGAAGGGGGCCACTACCTGACAGAAGAGAAGGAGAAAAGGGAGGGAGGAAGAGAAAGGGACGGGAGGCAGGGAAAAACATGTCAGTTAGGCTTGTCTGATCCGCGCTGATCTCCAACCCCGGCCATGCAGTCAAGGGGTTAGACGCATCTAGCACCACTCCAGTGTATGAAGCGAAGGGAGCCACAAGGCCACTGACCTGTTATTCTCTGCCTCCCGCGCCTCTCGTTTTACTTTTTATTTATTTCTCCATGATTCGCAGGACTGGATTGCGGCAGCGATGAGGATGGTTCCAACAGAGCATGGAGAAACGAGGCTTTATTCCACGAATCCTCCAGTATATCTTTGGAACGCTTTTAGCCGACAGGGTATGACCTCCTCTGCTTTTCACTCTTACAAAGGAAACAAGTAGGATGCTGAAAGCGTTCCAAAGATATACTGAAAAATTTGTGGAATAAGGCCTCGCTTTCCCATGGTCTGTTAGGGTCTATCCCCATTGCTGCCGCAATCCAGTCCTGCAAATAATGGAGAAAAGAATAAAAAAGTAAAAGGAAAGGGACGGGAAGCAGGGAAGAACAGGCCAGTCGCCTTGTCTGATCCGCGCTGATCTCCAACCCCGGCCATGCAGTCAAGTGGTTAGACGCATCTAGCACCACTCCCGTTTTTTAAGCGAAGGGGGCCATTACCTGACAGAAGAGAAGGAGAAAAAAGAGGGAGGAAGAGAAAGGGACGGCAAGGAAGAACAGGTCAGTCGCTTTGTCTGATCCGCGCTGATCTCCAACCCCGGCCATGCAGTCAAGGGGTTCGACGCATCTAGCACCACCCCCGCGTATGATGAGAAGGGAACCACAACCTGAAAGAGGGGCAAGAGGGAACATATGGCAAGCAAACACGGAAGTAGAGGAAAGACGGAAAGAGGGAGGATATCACAGTATTTTTGTAAAATTTGAGAATTCTCAAAGGAAAGCATTTCAACAGTTAGAGAATCAGCCCACATTGCATCACTCCTCAGCAATGACATGTCCCCATTACCTTCCCCATTCTCCCTCAACCGCTCTCAACCTCTCTCATCCCCTCTCAACCGCAATCCGTCTCAGCCCCTTTACCCACCTTGCTCCACTCCCCTGCAGTCGCATATCCCGGCGTTGCAACAATCACAGCATCAGCCCCTTCAACCGCCTCTGCCACTCCCCTACCTGCTGTGACTTCCCCATTACCCCCTCCTGCTTTATTTCCACACTTACCCCTCGCAACCCCTCTCAATTCCCGCTTCACCCACCTTGCTCCATTCCTCAGCAGTGGCATATCCAGGCGTGGCAACAATCACAGCATCAGCCCCTTCCACCGCCTCTGCCACTCCTGCCGCTGTTGCCGCCCCCTTGCCCCCCTCCTTCACATATGCTAGTGCCTTGGCGGTCTGAAAAAAAGGAGGGGAAACAAGAAGAAGGCAGCGGTGCAAAGGGGTTGAAAAAGGTTCAGCGAGGTGCAACCACCACCCTCCTTCACATAAGTTAGCACCATGACAGTCTAAGAACCACACGTCACCGCATGCCACGCATGTTACCACATCTTACCACGCGTTATCATTCTGCCACCACCTCACTGACGTAAAGTGGCAGAGAGCTCACCTTCTCGTCACCCGGATGGCGTGACGTCAGCACGACGTCATGCCCCGCGGCGCACAGCTTCTGAGCCAGCTTGGACCCCACGTTGCCAGTGCCGCCCACCACCGCGATCCTCATGATGACGATTTTGTCCTTCTCGAACTGAGCTTGCACGCTGTCCGCCTCTGGATTGGTGAGCTTTCCGAAGTGAGCTGACTGCGCTGATGGGCGAGCAGGCCTGGTTGACCGCGTTGACCTCGCTGAATGCGTTGACCGCGTTGACTGCGTTGGATGAGCTGACCTCTCCGGGAATTTTCTTGAACCTGAGAAGCCTGTCACCGCATTCAACGGGATAAAGTGGTGGAAATGCGATTCCTGATGGCCGTGATAGTAAGGAGACGGCGACGAGGATAAGGAGTTCGAAGATAACGAGACGTGCGACGATGGGACCGATTCGAGATGGGAGCCACGCGCGGTAAAGGCGAGCCGCAAAGACTGCATCATCGCGTCGCCGGCCAACTTGCTGTGCGCGTCGCGAGGCAGGGATTTTTTAAGATCCACACGCCGGAAGACAAAGCTGATATAGAAAGCAGCGCGCAACAATATAGTACTACTCCAATGAGAAAACACTGCAGCGGAAAAACGTGAAAGAAGCAAACAACATCAAGGCACCGAAAATGCAGGAAGCGACAACGCGAAAAGGATCGTCTAAAAAAACCGTGCGGCCCAAAAAAGAGGAAGCGCTTTCTCACGCGGCTTCGAAGATTGAACGTCATGCACCTTGGAAGAGACGCCGCACAAGAGACGCCTTGGAAACGACGCCTTGGAAGGGACGCCGCACACGAGACGGGAGAAGATCTAAGCGCTTGGAGAAGTTGGGTCGAAGCGCGGCCTCGGCGACAGCTCACAGTGCTGGCCGCTCGCACTACTCCTGTTGCTGCTGATGCTGATGCTGCTGCTGCTGCGCCGATGGGGACGCCTAAAAAACTCCGGGTCTCGGTGAACAACAAAACAGAGAAACTCGGGATTTCAGATTTGGATAAAATGTTATCAGAGGAGAAGCTGGAAAAGGTGCTCCTCGAATTTGTCGAATTTGTGGAGAAATTTGGCCCCTGGGCGAGGGAGGGATTGATCTGTGCCTTATGGTGGGGGAGGGTGGGGGAATTCTCGACGAGGGCAGTTGCCGCGACCCGGCTGGCAAGTCAGCACCCATTTCGCGAAAGGATTCGACTGACCGAATCTGGTTACGACGTCATGATGCTGGCGAAAGTCTCCGGATTCGTTGGGATGATCGGGTACGCGGTTTGGCGCGCGGGAAGCTGTACCCCAGCAGCACCCCAACCACTCTAGAAGCTTCTGCAAGTTTCCTCGTAATTTCCGTGAAAATATACTACGTTTCTAAATGACTCGAAACAGATCTTGACCACTAGGAATACCACAACTTGCACACAGTAGGTAGTGCTGAAATATATAAAATAGCAGTAAGTCCACACATCACTATATTGAAATTACAATCCACAAGGATAAACCGTTTCCGATAAATCATCCCGTGCTTGAATTAGCCGAACATGAAGACAGAGGAAAGTAGGAGCATCCAGAAAGCGCAACCAGACACTGCAAAACGCCCACTCCCTTTGCCATTATTGCCACTGCTGCTGCCACTACCGCCATTGGTACTGCTGGCAGATGGGTTAGTACTGCTGCCGTTACCAGTGCTGCTGCTTCCATCACCCCCCTTATTGCTACTCGTCAATCCATTAATGCCTGGGCTGCCGCTGGGAGAAGGCTGCACTACAACAGGAACGTCCGATATGCCAGCATAGGCCGCACAGTCTTTCTTGTCAAGTGTACGGTTGAAGAGGTTCTTAAAGCTGGGATTGTCTACAGTGCCGGCAGGGCAGTTGGCCGGAGGAACGAGTGGGTCGCAGCAGATGACACGAGGAGGGATCCTGGAAGGACCGTTGTAACACCCCGTCGTTCCCTGTTCATGGGTAGATACACAGGTAAGTCAGCTGTTACAAGGGTAGCAAACCTGTAAGTTTCGCCCACACCCCTCCATCCTCCCACTTCTCCCTCCCCCCCTCTGCCCCCCTCCCCACCCTCCCCCGCTCCTGTTTCTGCCAAGCACTCTCACACTACTCACGGGCGCAATCTCGAGAGAGGTGCTGCGGTATCCGAGGGCTGAAAAGATAGCACCAAACGACTTGTTCAGCATGCGCTCCTTGCTGTTGAGAAACTGGCCAAACGTGGCCCCAGTGCCGGGGACTGGAGGTACGGCAACAGGAAAGGAGGGAGGTGGGTGGAGGGGAGGACGAGGAGGTAAGGGAAAACGATAGGTCAAAGTATAGTGAGGACGTCAGCAGGGTGGAGGGAAACAAGGGGTGAACACTCTGTAAGCTTTTGGTAGAAAGTAGAAGAACCGACCATCCTTACTACATGCTTGGAGTTTTTGTTAAGCGGTGTACTGTACCTGGCAGTCCCTTGCAGTCGTCGAACATCTTGGTTGCAAAACTGTCGCACATCGTGAAAATGGGGTTCGCGCCCACCCCTTCAGACTGGCGCACGTAGTTGCCCGAATCTGGAAACGGATGTGGCGAATGCGTTGGCGAACGGAGAAACGGTAACAGGAACCAGCAAACCAGAGTAAAACTGTCGGTCACTTGAGAACGTCGTCATTGAAAGGGAGCTCAGAGGAGTGCGGAGTTCTATCAGAGAAGTGCATAGCACTATCAGAGGAGTGCAGAGAACTACCAGAGGAGTGCAGAGTGTTTGAGAACTGGAAATAGAATCGAAGCGAAGTCGCTCCATTGACAAGCAGGCAGGTTTGGTCCACTAGCGTTTGGCAGGACTCAAAACGAGGGGTGTTATTAAACACATACCTGGGTTACAGTTTATGGCGCAGCCAACCTGCTCGAAATCGTTCGAGCAGTCGTGGAATCCCACAAATAAGGAGCACAGCTGGGAGGGGACCAGATGCAATCGAGGCGTAACATATGTTTGAGAGAAACACACGCACAAACACCAAGTGACGATCGGTTGTGTCAGAAAACAACGATGATTTTCAGAAGTATGAGGAACGAGGAAGCACATATTTAGGCGACTCTAACCCGCCGAAGGCAGATGGTTGGGAAAAAAAGTCTCTCCTTTTAATGCCACTAGCCCTAGCATACACCAATAAACCTTTCACGCAGCAGCTCCACCAACGAGCTTCTGAAGTTCACGAGTTTTCTTCGAAACCTTTTTCCCAAGGTTCTGGCGTCTGATATTTCTCGCGACATTCTTTCACTCCATTTTTCACGAGCCACGCACCTGAACCTCTGTCCCCCCTAGCAGCTGCGCCAGCGACGGTGCGAATTGATTTACGATGGTCGACTCGTTCGCGAGCACCGCCGACAGCGCCATTCCGTGGTCGAAGCAGTTTTCGCAGCAGCTCGCTTCTGACGCGTCCACGCACCGCGCAGGGACAATCGTCGGTTTTTGCGGTGGTTTTTGCGTGAAGGGGCAGAGCGGGTAACCCTCCGCTGATGACGGCGACAGAAGCGGTAGAAGCAGTGTCGTCGTGGCGAAAAGAAAGAGAACGACGCTCTGAACACGGCCCATTGTGGGCTTTATAAGTAGATCAAGTTGGTCAACGAGCACAAAGTTCAGGAAGTGCAGGGTCCGAGTGCGTACAAAGTTCACGCCTAGATCGTGGGACGTAGGCGTCGAAGCGCGGCCTCGTGTTATTGAAATAGAATCAATGAGTGTCTATAACTGTGCCGCTTATCGGTTCCTCTGAATGCAGCGGCGCTTGAACTCCGCGCATTTCATACATGAATGCCTGACACGAACGCCCGATAACGCCTCCCTCTCCTCTCCCCCTAGAAGTCGAGGGGGGAGAAGTGTGAGGGGACGGGCAGCAAGACGAATGTGCGGGGTTGATAACGCCGCATTTTTCGGTCGAGTTACCTGGCTTCTCGTGCAACATTCTATTGGTGGGCGCCGCGGTTCCAATCCTACGTGGTGGCGTTTCCACCTCTTCGACAACCTACGTTCTCGTCTCGCAACACTATCGATGCACTTACCTCGCCAACAAAACGTCCTTATTTCGCGGAATCATTACTCGGCGAAACGGAAAAAAACGGACTGCCATGCCATGCCAATCGGACCTAGTGAGGACAAGAGAATGGTATTTCGTCACTTCGACGCAAATGGGCTACTGTACTTTCAACATTACGTACAGTACAGACAGACACCCAACTGAACAGCAGCACAATTGGCTACGCCTGCACTGCGCTGCGCTACTAGGACCCTAAAGGTGGCATTTTGTGGGTCGTCAGTTACACACTACACTCGAATTTCGTTAGAATCACGCCGCCTTCACTTTAATACATAGACTGAAGAGAGCAATTGCTTCTCGCCAAGGTAAGGGTGTGAGTTATGGTTACAGTACGCACATTGTTGGTGATATGCTTATGCAATTCTATTTCTATCGTGCATGCATGGAGCAACATACACAACTTGGTGCACAACTTGTGCAACGAACCTGGAGCGGCACACTGTTTCTGGAGCGGCACGCCTCTCAGTAGCACGCTGTACACTGTACACACGTTTTGTACAGTTTGATTGGCAGCACTACTATCCTCCAAGTTGGCAAAGAGCATTATAGCAAGGGACTTGTCTTTCAGCATGTGCATATCTCTCAGAAATAGAATGCAACGGAATGGTGTGACTAGGAAAGCAAGGCAGTACAAATATGAAACCCTAACTGAGTTGTACTCGCTAAGGAGCACCTCACTGCAGCCTATAATAATCAATAACATTTGACACACCCCCAGAGGCTACGTGAGGGGCATCAAAGCAAGCAGGGTGAACAAACGGTCACAAGACCAGTCAAGACAAGAAGCAAAGCAAGCTCAGGGTGGATCTCATGGACACCGCACAAATATCGAGCAGAAACAAGCGGCCACAAGGCCAATTCAAGAGAGCACAATATATATAAAGGGAATGACAAGTAGAACACGCAACAAGAGCAACACTACAGCAACCATGGGCCTACCTCAACGAACCCTAGCTGCACACAGAACCTGTGGTGGTCACCAGGGGCCAAGACCTTGGTGAAGACGTCGGCAGTGTTGGCCTCTGAGGCCACAAAGTCCAAGCGTGCCTGGCCGCGTCGCTGTAACTCTCGCAGGAGAAAGTACCTCACGTCAATATGCTTCACTCTGCTCTCCAGTCGGAGGATCATCGCCTTGTTGTCAGCGTACAAGGTCGGTGCAGAGCAAGACCGCTCACCAAGGTCGATGAGCAAGAAGGTCAACTAGCGAAGCTCCTGCGCCGCCATGGCACCAGCGTAGATCTCTGCCTCTGCACTAGACGAAGCCACATACGACGACCGTGTAGACCTCCACGACACAGCACCAGCAGCCAGACTGAAGCTTTTACCCTGAGTCGAACGCTGAGTCTCCACGTCGTCAGCGTAGGAAGAGTCACAGTGACCGGTCAACACAACTGGATGTGTCCCTCCAAGCACAAGCCCCAATGCCTGATGTAGTCGCCATGTACTTCGCCACCCTCACAGCAGCTGTCCAGTGCTTAGGACGGTGTCTCCCAGTCGCAACAAAGCGAGAGAGGACGCTGAGGGGAAAGGCGAGGTCCGACCGAGTACAAGTCATCAGGTACATGAGGCAGCCCACAAGCTCTGGGTAGGGACCACAAGTCTCAAAGGGCTCGTCGGGAAAAGGGCCAGTGAGTCGGTGGTTAACGACAAGAGGAGTGGGCTGTGTGGTGGAGAAGTGAAAACCAAACCGCCGAAGGACCTGCTGCACCATGTGTGACTGAGTTAGTGTGATGGTGCGAGAGTCTGTCCCTGGTAATCTGCACGCCAAGGTAGCGCTGCAGTTCACCGAGGTCAGTGCACGTGTCTCTCTTCTGCAGTTCGGACTTCACCTCAGCCAGAGCTGCCCTGTCTGCTGTAGCAAAGACCAAGTCGTCGACGTAAACTAGTATAAAGAAAGAAGTGGAACCAGCGCGAACAAATAGCGACGGGTCGGCAGAGGAAGGACGAAACCCAAGGTCACGAAGCGTGGAGCGAAGAGTGTCGTGCCACTCACGGGGCGACTGGCGGAGACCGTAGACTGGCCGCCTCAGGCTCCACTGGGTCCCAGGTGGGAAGGTGTCAGTGAAGCCAAGAGGACGCCGCAGCCATATCTCCTCGTGTAGGCGGCCCTGGAGAAACGCAGTGGAGAAGTCGAGGGAGTGCAACTCGTAGTCTCGCTGTGCTGCTACGTGCAGTAACACCCGAAGAGTAGTCATCTTCGGGGTCGGGGCGAATGTCTGGAAGAAGTCAACTCCCTCACGCTGACTGAAACCCCTAGCCACGTAGCGCTCCTTGAATACAGGCGGTGAACCAGGCGGACGCTTCACTTTGAAGAGCCACATGCCATCGACAACGTTCGCCCTGGGAGGGGGAACTGCGTCGACGTAAGTGTCTGTGGATCTCCAAGACGCTAACTCTGAGTCCATAGCCGCTTTCCACTAAGAGGCCCACTCCCCTGACAATGCCTCACGGTACGTGCGAGGTGTCGGTATGTCAAGGGCGTCGGGGTCTCCCTCAAGGGAAAGCAGCATGGCGCAGAGAGAGAGGGGGAAGCAGTTGCTAAGAACTCCAGTTCAAACTGCCTGTCCTCTAGGACGTCACAGCCAAGGGCATACTCACCCCCAACGGACAGAGGACGGGGAGGTGGAGCAGCCACCACATGCGTGGCGTAGTCAAGACGACGGGTGGAAGCAAAGTCAGCGACAGCGGCAGTAAGAGTCGAGACAGACGACGGAGAGGCACGAGGGTCGGTGACAAGAGAGGCGAGAACACGGGAGACAACAGGGCGAGCAACACGGTAGTAGTCAGTGATAGGGTGAGAGGAAACAGTGAGAGACGACTCAGGAGGTGAGGGGAGAATAGACACAGGCGGAGAACGACGAGAAGGAGAATGAAACAAGACAGTGCGGAGGTCGGCAAGAGGAGACGAGGGCCGAGCACGCGGAGGACAACGATTGGTCCAGACGTGCGGGACAACAGGAGAAAACGCCTGTGACTGAGGAGGAGAGAAAACAGCCAGAGTCGAGTCCAGAGGAGGAAACGTAGGACCATACGAAGGAGGAGACTGTGAGTGGACAAGAGGAGAGGAAGGAAGACCAAGGGAATAGCTGCTGCAAATGGGGCGGCTGCGGCGGCTGCTGCTGCTGCTGCTGCTGTTGGTCCAACTAATGCAACTCCTGCCTCTCCTACTCCAACCACTCCTGCTCCTCGCGCTCAAGCCGACGAAGGGCCTGGAGACGAGTGTCGTAGCGGTGGGGAGGCGAAGTGGGCGCCGCAGTAGGCGTGCCTCCAACTCCTGTCTCCTCAGTACTAGCTCCTACAGCGCTAGCACCTCCTGCTCCAGCACCCCCATAACTAGCACCACTAGCGCCAGTACCTCCAGCTCCAGCACCCCCAGAGCTAGCGCCACCAGCGCTAGCACCTCCGGCTCCAGCACCCTCAGAACTAGCACCTCCAGTGCCAGTACCTCCAGCTCCAACACCCCCAGCACTAGCGCTAGCAGCGCCAACACCTCCAGCTCCAGTACCCCCAGAACTAGCACCGCCAGTGCCAGCACCTCCAGCTCCAACACCTCTCGAACGAGCGCCCCCAGACCGAGGACCTCCAGCGGCACTACCTCCAGCTCCAACACCACCGGAGTCCACAGTAACCTGTCGCGGAAGTGCCGAAGGCTTCTGAGGGGACTGTGAGGAGGACTGCGGGGAGGGAGACGCTACCTGACGCGCGACCGAGGGTAGAGGGGTAGCGTGAGACACACCTGACGGTGCAGGACCAGGGGGGGGCGGGGGTAACGGAGGAGCGGGAGCAGGGGGAGGAGAGGGTGCGAGGAATAGGGGGGGAGGGGGAACAGGGAGACCTCGACAGGGGTACCGGGTGTAGTAGGACACGGACTCGTCAAACCGGACGTCACGAGAGTCAAGAAACTGGTGGAGGGGCGGGTGGTAAAAGGAGTAGTCGGGAGAGCCCACCGAGAAAGCAAGGAAGACACAGAGGATGGCGCGAGCCGAGAGCTTGTCCGCAGAGGTGTCGCGGACAAGCGCAAGGCAGCCCCAGACACGAAAGGCCAACCCAACACCAGGGGACCCGGTCCAGAGACGAGTCGGTGAAACCTCTGCCCGCGAGACACGCGGCTGGAGGTTCAGCTGGTGCGCGGCGTAGCGAAGCCCATAGGGGCACAGAAAATGGGGCGCACGGGCATGGATCATGGACGTGCGGGCGATGTACATGACCAAGCCAATGCAGCGCTCAGCAACCCCATTGTGCTGTGGGACTCCAGCAGCGTCCAGGACTGTCTGATGCCCTACTCGTCGCAGAACCCGGCAAG